TGGCCCCTAGGTGGAGGCGTGAACAGGGAAGTTTCATTCACTGCCCTCATGCCCGTAAGCACCACCACCCCACCCACACACCCCTCATTGCTCGCAGTTCCCATTGGGATCTGTGAAGCCAGCACTTGGATGGGGGTAGTCCGTGGACCCTCCCTGGCCACCCATGCATCTAGGAGCCACAGGGACGGAGCTAGTAATCAGTTCTGCAAGCCACACAGAATCAGGGCAAGTAAGGAGTCTGCCTGGGAGGGAGGAGGAGGAGTTGATGAGTATGGCCTGTGGACCCCCATAATCTGTGGACCCCTGTTGGGAAAACATTGCCTTAAATGAGTGGAGCACAGAGAGTCTAAGGAGGCAAAATCTGCACAGCAACTGTTTCAGACCAAGGCTGGCATTAGCAGGCACATCTGCTCCAGAGGGCTTTGACCCACAGTCCTGCCCCATCCTATCCTATCCCCAATGTGACCTTCCACGCTTATATGGGACCAGCATGGAGATCCTGTCTTTAGCATGTATCAGGTACACAGGCCTGACTGACAATTTTGCTTGCAGTCCCATATTGTGCAGCCTCTGTTTGGGACCTAAGTAGCATTGAGGGTCTTGCACCAGAATTGAGTTTCATTCAAACTGCAGATGTTTCAAGTCTTGCCCCACAATGCACAGCTTGGCCCAAAATTTTTCCACAAAGATGAATGTTTTCACTTTATAGAGTAAAAAAATAAAAGAGTTCTTGTCCCACTGAACACAGGAGGACATTCTGGCTGCACATGAGATAAAAAGGTAATTTTAATGTGTACAGAATTTTTATATAAATAATAGTCCAAAACATTTTGCCATATTAGATAGTAGAATTAAATGATAAGCAACAGCAAAGCGAGGGCAGAGGAAATAACTATTACTTTATTTTAATCTTGTTCTGCAGGAATTTTAGGCCAGTTTCTGCAACCCTTACTCATGTTGAGTAGCACATACACAAGTATTCCAGTTGGCTACTACTCAGTATGAGTAATTGTGTTTGGGTTCTCCTATAGACCTGCTCCTCCAGAATCTCACTGTTCTGAGCAGCAGTGGCAATATATCTTTGGGAAGTCCCTTTGGGGAATTTCCTCACTCATTTATTTTTTTATGGTGTGCTCTTCACACCTGCTTTGTGCTCCCAACTCTGCCATCTGCTATGTTTTCCTCCCCACCCCCCTCTTCTCCTTGGCTCCTTCTCACCCATCTCCCACGCCCCTTTCCATCTCTTCATCTGCCCAAAAGCCCTGCACTCCATCCCTTCAGTGCCTGGCTATGGAACTAAGCCCACAAGAAAGGGTTACAATTTAAAAGTGTCTTTTCAAATTGAATCTAGGCCTCTGTGAACCCAACACATGTCTATTGGGCAAGTGGAAGCCCATGTGCAGATTTTATAAGAAAGCTAAGAGAGGTGTGTTGTCATCTGAGTTTGAATGTCTGGTGAACAGCTTGCTGCATCTCTACAATTTTGTGCACATGTTATGCATGCATATTAGCAAGTCATCTTTGTCTTGGGGAAGACAAGATCTTGAACACAATTTGCTTAGTTACTTTATAGCTACAGTAGATAGAATACATGTTTTGATTAATCTCTGCAACACAGTGAAAACTACTCTCCTTTTTTCTGTATTGTCATAAGAAAAATAGTATAACTCTAAAACATCTTTGTTTGAAGCGAGATTAAATATGTAGTAGGAGCTATGTATCGGAACATATCTAGCAAAGAAAAAATTCTTACAGCCAGGAAATGTAACAAAGTTCAGCAGTCTTTTGCAAAGCTTCCACTGTATTAGTGTTCTTGTCAAAAGCAAAGAGACCACAGGATTGATGGCTGAACATAATTCAATTTCCAAAGATATCAATACAGTGCTTTTTAGGTAAATTAAATTCACTTAAAAGGCAAGGAAATGTATATGTTGCCTGATTGTCACCTGCAACTTGTCAAACTCTTATTTTAAACAGGATATAGAAGCAGCAGAAAAGAGGCTGCAAGCAGGAGTACATCTACAGCCACATCCCAATATTGTTAAGATTGAAGTGAGTCCTGAAATAAACTCCATCCTTTCATTTACTATGTACAAAATAATTCCCTTTTTCTAAAGCATATTCATAACGTAAAAATAATTGATTGTGAAATTGACTTGTATAGCCAAAGGGGTGTATATTGTGCAGTAGGCTGAACCTAAATGCAGGGTCAAAGTCTCTAGATTTTGCAGTAGCCTGAGGGAAATTCTCTAGCAGCTTCCAATATTTTTTTACCTGAGGTTTTATTTATTTAAATATGAAAATGTATAATTCAAGAATCAGAACCTTTGTAGTTTTTATTTCAATATTAAACTCAGTTTATTTCATACCATCCTAAAAACTGAAAGTGTAAGTTTACCACAGATTGTCATCTTTAGGTTTGAGTCAACAACCTATTAAGATGAATGGGGAAGTTCACACTTGTCAGAGCTATTGTGTGTAAGGATGGTTGGGAACTTGTGAAGATATCACTGTGCAGTCACAGTTGGTTCACATTTTCAGGATTTTCTTTCAAACCACTATGGCTAGAAGCATAATTTTTTAAAAAATTAGAATTGATTGTTTTGGAGCATAAGTCTACAGAAAAGGGTGACTTCCGCCATGGTTAAGTACACAGGATGCTGCTTATAGTTAGTGCCTTCATTCAATTAATATCCTGAAGTCCTGAATATCCTAGAAGAGGAAAAGAATTATATCAACCAAACTGTACTTTAAAAATTCTTGTTATAGTGATGAAGGTGGTAGCATGCTTTTTTTTAATGGCCATATAACTTTAAAATAAATAGGGACTTTTTTGAATTTGTTGGGTACTAAATATGGCCTATCTCGTGTCCTGCCCTTCCCCCTTCACTGAAATAAAAATCAGACTCAAAATATAAATGTACATAATGTATACTGCACAGTAATTTGGGAAATGAAGCTGTTTACAATGAGCTGATTATTTTAGTAAAAATATTAAATAGTATTAAAAAGTTTATAATATATTTTAAGTTTCAACTTGCAAATAAAGTTAATGTGCTGGCTGACAAATTACTTAAAAGTAAAAAAATAGAACCAAGCTATTTAAGCTGAGTCTATAAAACAGGGCATGGTCCTGCAAGCACTTACGCACATGAATAGTTCTGTAGTGTTCAGTAGAAATATGCATATGCTAAAGTTAAGTGTTTGCAGGAAAAGGCCTAAATTTATTCTGAAGATATACTTATTACATAAGCCATAAATGCCTGCATGTGTGCTGCAAATACAGTTTTAGTCCTTGATAATTTAAAATGGTCACCTATGCATGGAAGGTTTTAGCAGCGTCTGTCTGTATTAGGCCTGAAGTCCCAACACTAGAGAGTTTTGACATTCCTAGTACTGGTTCAATCACTGTGAAGAACTGTATACCATGGCATAGCAAATTCTGCAGAAAAATTTGATAGTAGTTGCGCCAAATGGGTACAGATTTTAAAAAATATGGTGTAGATACTTTTAAAGTATGGATAAAACGGATAAAAGTCAGACAATTCGTATTGGTTACTGATAGAAGCAGTATTGATTTTTGCCTTCAGCCTTCCCACCCAATTGTGTGAGTTATGGGAGAGTTGTGTTACTATTTCAAGGGGAAAAATCACATATTTAATCTTCATATATATTTTAAGGAGAGGATACTTAATAGCAAGAAAGGAAAAATATCTTTCATATACAAAATTGGCTGTCCACATTCTTTCCAATAAAACCTTCAGAGGATATATATGACACTCTCTTAGTACATATACCCGCTGTGATTTTTACAATTGATTATAATGGGTCTTTAACTTAGCAGTCCAAGTATAGATTTATGTGATTTCATATAAAATTTCAAACAAAGTCTAGTGAGTAAATATACTTTTTAGATTATGTATAGAAACTATGTCTGAGTTATACATATAAACCAAAATAGTTACCAAATAGTCCAGCACTTCCAAAGGAGTAATTTACGAGGTATCACGTGTGGGCACCAAAATATGTATTTATCTAGGTAAATAAAAATGGTTTGTTCTTTGTTTAAAAGCCTACATTTATATGTTTAAGATATGTACAAATGTTTTGCTAGAAAAGAAGTTTCTAGCTCATATTGAACAAAGCATTTAAGAAGCGCTTCAAGTAAAGCACATAATTTGCTAATTTTGGACCTGAGTCTCTGACTCTTAACTGAAGTATTTTTGGTCCATTAGTATAAATTGTATTTAGGAGTTACAATTATTTCATCCATAAACATTTAAAAATATGTGCTCAGGATGCCTCTGTTAAATGGGGTATTTTTTCTGTTCTTCAGTTGGAAAAACTGACACAGAAGTTACACCTTTTATCCAAGACCCTAGAACAAGTGCATGTCAGAGCTGTGGTTAGAAATCAGAAACTTCTGGCTATTACTCTGTTTTTTAGACCACAAGAATGCTGGCTGTGCATGTTTTCTTTCTTGAGCTAAGTACTGGAACCAATTACATTATCCTGGATTTATTCATTGCAAAATTAAGCTCACAAATATTTTTGTCAGCATTAATACATTATTTGTTTGTTTATAGCATTAAACAATAAATTTATTTTTTATCTCAAAACCTTGCTAAACTAAAATTATAATGATAATATTTAGGCATGAGAAAATGTTTATGGTTTACAGAAACATGACTACAATTCCATGACTATTGATGCTACCATTATGAGTTCCCTGTCTAATATAGTATCCACCACAAGAGGGCAGATTCAGTCACTGCATAACTAACTCTGGAAGGTGAAATTCTGCCAACTTCGGTTTCATTGTGTAAGTGAGGGATTGGAAATTTGGTATCCAAATAGTTTAGTCTTTTTTTAATTGCTTCACACATAAGGCAGGCTTTAATAACACATTGCATGTGTGTACTGTTTCGTGATAAACTGGTAAATGGATTAAATTGTGAAGCAAAATTAAATTACTTATTGTTGCATTATATCTTTCTTAGACTCTCTATTGGGCATCAGTAGAAGAATCTATTCCTAAGTGGGAGCAGTTTCTTTTAGGAAGAGCACAAACACCTGTTGGTTTTAAGAAAAAGAAATCTTCAGAGTATAACATAAGTCATGCAAAAGTTGCTGCACAAAGATGAAGAGGAAACAAAAGAGAAACTACCTTTTGACTTCAGTGGGAAAAATAATCCTGTACAGACAACCGCATATAAGGCCATTGAATTGCACTTAAATTTATGTATATTAAAATTAATCATGTTTGATGGATTTTTCTAGTTGTATCTGCATGGAAGAGTTCAGCTTATCTATAGTCTGCCAGCTCGAGGAAGCTCAGAATAACATTCTTGTGGTGGGAGGAACAATCCTTCTTGAAAATGACTTTATAAGATCATAAGTGAGACACACTAGTATGTGGAAACCCACCAGTACAATTGCCTCTTTAAAATGAGTGGAATCTTAGGCTATGTATAAATCCTTCACTTTTACATTTAAGTATGTTATATATGATTCCACCTTTATTTTCTTTAACCTCCTTTGTCACAGTGGGAGTTTATTCTGGCAGAGGCAAGCAATTTACACCAGGTCGAGGGGGAAGCTTTAGTTTATGGCTGGGATCCTCTATAGGAGCCCAGTGGAAGGATGCAAAGGGCACATACACTCAGTCTGTATATCTCCAGTTTTCTCTGATCATGTCAGTGACCTTGATTTGGGAGGTGGGGGCTGTGTTGGTCTCCCCCACAGGCAATTGCAGTTTCTGTTCCACTAGCTGCTGCTGCACACCCTTTTTCTAGGCCTGGTTTGTGAAAACAAAAGCCAATGTGAATCTGGGTTGGATCCAGCCATGAAGTTAATTTTGTAGACATTGAAGTGATATTTTAACACGTTTCCTTTGTAGTTTTAAGCCATTGCTTTGTGTCACTTTCATTTTGTTAATGTAAGCAACAGACATCATTTATGGATTAGGCCATGGGAGGTAGGGAAGAACCAGGCAGAAAGCCAGCCCAGTCGAGCAGCCCACCAAAGATTGCAGATACTGGAATAAGGAGGTGGGGAGCTTGCTTTCTATGGCAGATTGAGGACAGTTTCTCAGCCTTGTGCTACAAATGTGGAAGGCCAGTAAGTGGTTTTTTGTTTGCATATGGTTAATTATTGGTATTCGCTAAGTGCCTAGGAGCCTTCATCATGGGCCAGGACCCTATTGTACTAGGTGCTGTAAAAACACAACAAAAAAGACAGTCCTTGCCCAGTCTGAAGCCAACCCCTTGATAAGTTAGTATGCCTAGGAGCCAACTTCCATTGCTTTTTGCATATGCTGAAAGACCCAATTCAGAATGAAATCCTTTCAAGTAAATGACTCGGAGGTTTTTGTGCTTTTTCACTCTTCAATAGCGAAGATGCATGGTGGACATTCGGGGGGGCGGGGTTCCTCCAAAATTGGGACTTGAGTAAAGAAGCTCAATAGAAAGCAATTTCAGTAAAGGATGATTACTTTTCCCCTAGGTCAAGAAGAATTCATGTACATGGTTATATGGAATGGGGTGTGCAAACCACTCCAGTTAGATACAGACTAACCAAATTAATTACTAGAGACTATTAGGAATTATGAGCCTCCCATACCCTGTTATTTGCTAGTGGGGGGGGGTCTATCTTTCCCTCACCTGTTGTTAAGTATTTATGGGGGGAGGTGTCCTATCCTTTTATCTTATTTTTTTTGTGCATTATGAGTGAATGATTTAGAAGCATCTTTCTTCTACTCCCTTACTAACCTCTACAAAAATGTCACAGCCCAAACAAGTCTGATCACAGCCTTTGCATTGCTCCTTGAGTGGTGCACCTTCTGAAATGTGCCGCTAGAGCATTACATGCATTTAATTAATCAAATAGGATTTAATTATCCTTTGCTGACTGATTAGTGGTGAGGAATTCATTGTCACAGAATATGGAGCAGCCTCTTCAGCTGGAGACCGCAGGAAGTCTGAACAGTTTGCAAGGGCCAACCCCTGCAGAAGCTATTTTCTGCTAGATCAGGCCCTTCATTTTCTGAATTTAAATCACTTAAAGATTGGCCAAAAATTTTTTTCCTCCAGCTGTACTTTAAAATGACTTTACATTTTCCATGGAAATGTTCAAAGTTCATGTGAAACTTTTTTTATTGAAGTGTCCATTAATTTGATAAGTTTTTACAGAAACTGCCATGTTAGAAATATCCTGTTGAGTGGGTGTTGGTGTTTGTAACAATAACGTTGTTTTCATAATATGTGATGGCAGATTAGCACGCTTCTCTGCAGTGTTGCTAACAGTTGTAATTAAGGAATAAACAGTAAAGGGTGTCAGTCCGATGACAATTCCATCTATAGTGTCACAATACAAAATGTCACAAAATATTAGAACCGTTATATAACTACAAAAATATCAAATTAGGCTTTCATCTTAGAAGCAGAATGCTTAAAAAAAACTAGCGTAGAGACTGAGACAGAACAATGAGTAAGTATAAAATTGCAACAAAGACAAATTGGTAATATTTTGCTCTCTAAGATTACAATGTTGTTCTGAGCCATACAGTTGATTTAACAGTAGTGCATGCAGATTTCTAGTTCTGGAGCTCTGAAAGTGTAAATCCAGTCAGATGCAGGTGTGAGGGAAAGGAACAATTTTTATTCAGTGGTTAATTTACTAGGAAAAGACCTAGATTCTATTCCCTATCCTGCCAAAGATTTCAGGGCAACATCTACAAAGGCATTTAAATGACTAGTTACATGTGCCCAACTTGAAAATTGAGATCCTTAAAACTGGTATTCCGTCCTGTAGATGCCGGAATTCCAGGAGTGCTGAAGATCCTGTTGTGCCCATTTTCAAGCCCACCTTAAGTCCAGATGCTATCATGCTGTTCAGAAAGCTCCTGCTTAAATCCCAGCAGGATTCACAACATAAGCATTTCCCTTGCCTGAGCTGGTAGCAATTCTCAGAGCGTGTCTGCCCTGCAACTAGACACTCATTACTAGCTGTACCAGCAAACTTGGGCTTGCTGGTGCTCTCTGACTTGAGGGCTGTTTCATTGCTGCATAAACATCTGGACTCAGAATAGAGCACAAACCCTGCAATGGGAAGGATGTCTAGAGGTCTGCATAACAGTGAAAGAGCCCTGAGTCCGAGTCACTTGGTACAGGCCAACTGAAGGTTTTTCTTTGCTGTGTACTAGGGATGTAACAGGATAACTGTTTAACGGTTAACTGATAAGCCTAGGCTTATCAGTTATCATAAATGGTCACATGCAGGCTTCCGCCTCGCCTGGGGAGCCATCTGCCACCCTGTGCTGCTGGTTCTATATCAGAGCCTGCAGTGTGGGGCAGCAGCTGGTTCCCAAGGAATGGGGCAGGAGCAGAGCCAGAAGCCGATAAGCGCCATGCTGTGGGTGCATGTAACCGTATAACCACTGAAATTTTAGCAGTTACATGGTTACCCAGTTACCTGCTTTTTAACATCCCTACTGTGTACACATATCCTCAAAGGCCCCTTAGAAGATCCCAATGAAAGAGAATGGGAGTTAAGTTCCTAATTCTGATTTTTGCTTTTGAAAAATCTCTCCCTAAAATGTGAAAATAACCAAGTAGTATTCAAACCCCATGAAATGTATTTGCTTCAGTTCATCTGAAAATGACAACTAAACATGTTGAAATTGTGAAATGTTGATTCAGGGAAAGAATTGTATTTCCAGATGAAGGGTGTTTGATTGTATGTAGTTAACAGCTTCAGATATTTTAACATTTATTTATTTTAGTTAATTTCAATCAATTAAAAGTGGGGTGGGGAACCTAAAGATGCAGTCCCCGGCTTGCCTGAATTTGGCCCCCCCAGCACTGAGGAGCCTTCTCTGGCACTTCAAGGCCCCCACCTCCACCATCTTCCTGCAGGTCTGGAGCATACAAAATTTACTAGCCTGGGCTCCATCTGGTTCTGGTGTGTGAGGGGAATGTAGCCAGTGTCTTTCTCCTCAGTTGGGGGGCCACATCAGTGAGGATTTTTTTTTCATATTTGTGTATGGCCCCTGACTGATTTTTCTGTGAGGCAGTGGCACAAAAAAGGTTCCCCATTGCTGAATTAAACCCAATTCAGTCTTTTGGAAAAACGTAAACATCTTGCAGCACCTTAGGGTACGTCTAGACTACAGGCTTTTGTCGACAAAGCAAGCTGCTTTGTCAACAGAGTGTAGACGCAAAGGACAGTGTAGATGCAATAACGCCTTCTGTCAACAGAACTCTATCGACAAAAGGCGTTATTCCTCATAGAATGAGGTTTACTGCCATCAACAAAACTGCCGAGTTCTGTCGACGTTATGTCGACAGAACTCGGCGGTGGTGTAGAAGCAGGTATAGTTTTGTCAACGAAAGTCCACTTTTATCGACAAAACTCTAGACACACCCTTAGCAACTAACAAAACATTTAGGGTACGTCTAGACTACATGCCTCTGGCAACATAGGCATGTAGATTAGGCTACCCGGCATAGGAAAATGAAGCGGCGATTTAAATAATCGCCGCTTCATTTAAATTCAAATGGCTGCCGTGCTGAGCCGATCAGCTGTTTGTCAGCTCAGTGCAGTAGTCTGGATGCTCCGCGGTCGACATCAAACGCATTTGTTGACCTCCCAGGTATGCCTCCTGGGATGAGCCATTTAAATTTAAATGAAGCGGCGATTATTTAAATCGCCGCTTCATTTTCCTATGCCGGGTAGCCTAATCTACATGCCTATGTTGCCAGAGGCATGTAGTCTAGACGTACCCTAAATGTTTTGTTAGTTGCTAAGGGTGTGTCTAGAGTTTTGTCGATAAAAGTGGACTTTCGTTGACAAAACTATACCTGCAAGCCAGGATTTATATATCCCATGCTTCATTTGTATATTCGTGTTATGGTGCTATTTCAAAATAACAGATGCTGTTAAGACGTGGTTATTTCAAGAGAAAACCCTTCTTTCGAAATAACTGGTATACCTCATTGTATGAGTAATTAGGGTTATTTCAAGAGCAGGGTTTTCTCTCGAAATAACAGCATTTTAACAGCATCTGTTATTTCGAAATAGCGCCATAACGTGAATATGCAAATGAAGCACGGGATATTTAAATCCCGGCTTCATTTGCAATTTCGAATGTCTTCATTTGCATCCCTCTCTCAAAAGAGGGTGCAAGTGTAGACATATCCATAGATGGTATCGTGAGCTTTTGTGGGCACAACCCACGAAGGCTCATGATACCATCTACATGTTTTGTTAGT